TCTTAATAACTTCTACAGCCAGAAAATATAAATACAATATTCACTGCAATAAATACATATATTTTCAAAACTAATTCTTAGATAGAACACCTTATTAATCTTAATACCTATTTGATGTATACACAAGGGCATTATTGCACAGCTAAACACAATTAACATTAATAAATTCATAACGAAATCGTATTTGCTTTACGTTTAAAATTCTCCATTTTTAAAATTTTACAAATAATCATCTAAGGCTTCCAGTGGTAAATTTTGTCTTATCTTACCAACTTCTTATACAATTAGTGTTTGTGAAAATAAGCCTAGTCTATGAAGTTTGATTTGAGACTCAGGTAAACAAGATTTTATATTTTAAAAAAAATAAAAATATAATCCTCCTGATATTTTGGTGTAGTTTACCTCATATTACATTTTATCGAAATACCTATAAAATTTTCGGAAATAAAACAAGCAGGCGGACACATCCATTTGTGTAAAGGAAATGTAAAACAAATAATGATCAAGGTTGTACAATCCAAGTTTTCTAAACAGGTCTACATAAGACGTAACTCATCCCACTGGCATTCTGAACTCGCAGCTGAATTTTCATCCGAAGGAGATTTTGCTAAACGTGATTTTCCATTTCCTTCCTTCTTTCTCCCCAAGACTCTTCCACTTCTACGTCAGTACGTCGTCTAACAACCAAGCCTCTCCATCTCCACATTCCAAAGCTTACCCTCTCCTCTCCACGCCACAATTTATTCTAATGTCCTTTCCTTCTGTCAACTTTAAAAGAGAAAATGCTGAGATAGTACCTTAATACAATAAAGACATTTTCTCCCCACACCCGTATTTTCAAATTATAATCAACACATCACTTAACATACAACCAAATCAGTTTAAAAATCGCATTTAAAGACAAGATTCCTATTTACCTGATTTCCACCTAAACATGTGACGTCAACGTCGAGTGGCGACAAGTAATATCTGTCAGCGTGCTATTGAAAAGTTGACAATTTACTATAATTTTTTCAGTGGGAAAATGTTGCCTGTTACTTCACTGATTCCAATTAAATTCTATTAGTCGACTTATTATTGGTTTAAAAACAATTCACAGAACAAAGTACGTACAACAATGTAACAACAGTAAGCAGTCCGATTTGAGGTATAATCGATGAATCGTTTGTAAACATCGACCAGACTACGAAGCGCTACAACTCAGAATACAAAGTCATCTTCAGACTCGCTGCCGTGAGAACTCAAGTCTCACTGACCTACATTATTTATGGAAATGACAACCACATGTTGAAGAAATGCAATTCGGCGAGTTCCTTTCATAATCAAAGCGGTAGTACAACGCCACTGAACAATATGATGCTCTGTAACCACGACAACCTCGGCACAAATCACACATGGAAACAATTACGAGCATCTGGCCGAAGGGCGTGGTTGGTACCTACCTAGGTCAAGGTCACGGCTACCAGCTGTGGTGACAACTGCATCAGTTGTTCTTCAGTGCTGTGCAGTTAATATGGCAACCGCATAGTCCAGCTTGGTAGCTCCCGAAATAAAACCATCTGCTTAATAAAATGTTAGGAACTGTTCCATTTCTGAAAGACGCCAATTAGAGTGTTGATTCCAACATTATTGTAAGAAAAAAGCAGAAGATAGTAATTCGGGAGAAATTTTTTATAATTCAAATACAATTATATGAAAGTGTACAATCACGCCTCAAAACTATCTCGTTCAAAGACAGAAATTGCCTTCAGTATCTTTCTCTCACTTTCTCGACAGAATAGGTGTAATAAGAACACAACGCAGACATAAAATAAAGAAAATAAGAAAAAATAATAAATAAAGAAAAATTAAAAATTAAAATTGTTAAAAGGAGGCAAGATTCATTTAACAGAAATTTACAGTAACACAAAACTCTACAACAAAAAAGTTTTACTAATATCCTTGGTGTTTTATATCACAACATTTATTCGTAAGATTTACCGAGTTCCACCTGCAGGCTTATACGTATGCGATTTATAAATACGGCGTTCATGAGCGTCTGTTATATTCACTACTTACTTCTATCAAGCCGTCCGCACGAAGCAACTGTTGTTTGTACAATTTTGTAACATTCGCTATTTTTAACGTTCATTATATTTTAACGATCCTCCTAAACCTTAATTCACAATGGGAAGTACAGACCATAATCTTTCCTGGACACCTAAATATAGTCTGTACTTCAATAAATAATGAAAACATCGACGAAGAGTTTTACATGTGTATAAAGACGTTCAATACAGCGCGTATCATCACAGCCCACTCAATACTTTTAAGGTCAATTTCAATGCTTTTCTTCCGTATTACGTCTGGGTCTCTTAACCTATCCGTTCACAAAAGATTTGTTTTACCAAAGACCTCATCCAGTTCTCGGATCCACGTATGCGGTAGTCCAACGTATCTTAGCAGTTTAAACCATCTTAAAACTTCCCACACAGCACAGCCGTTGTCTTGTTCTAGTATGAATTTATTTTGAGAAGTTGGGTAAACTGCACTTCTCCGGCTTTGTAACTTACTTGTGTTTTCAATAAAATCTTCTCGGGCAATCAGCCGCTTTAGCTGGTTACCGTAGTAAACCGACGTTTCGGGAACAAACTCTGTCCCCATCTTCAGAGTTCTGATATGACTGGGTCCAGTTTGTTCCCGAAACGTCGGTTTACTACGGTAACCAGCTAAAGCGGCTGATTGCCCGAGAAGATTTTATTGATTGTACTCGCCGCGAAAGTCTCAAATCCTATATTACTTGTGCTTTGCTAAACAGTAATATTGTCCGTCAACAAGAACCTATAATTATATAAAGATTCAAATCAATAATAACTTAAATACAATTTCTTAAATACAATTTCTATATATTATTTTAGCGTATATTTTTATCAGATGTTTATCAGATATCAAACGATGTTCTTTTCCAGATTTTATTCCATTTTAATAACATATTCGATGTTGTTCTGTATATGTACATCATGCTCAATATGACTTTAGACGGATAAGATTTAAACAATATATATTTATTATATCACAATATGACGCAACGTTATCATCTCAAGAACCATAACATAACAGTGTTTAAAAATAAACCGCAACACAATGCTTAGTTACAAAATAATTGTCCTCTGCAACAACATAAAATCAACAGTGTGACTGACAATTACCTGCGTACCTGCAAGAACACAAAATATGTCTCGTGGTAAACCTAATTACGACGCGACGGAATGAAGGATGGTATTGATCAGGGTCAGTCACGTGACACATTCACATGTGGGATCAAATGGACTGTTGTATAATTCTGCAAGTTTCCATAAAAATATTCTACCGAAGTTACAACGGATGAATAAATTAAATACAGAACAAAAAGAGAAGTCTGCCGATATGAATGGAGTACAATTGAGGTAATTTTATCCGATGAGTGCTACATTCTTTTCAGCATTACTTTTCCAAATACAGTCCTATTGGACAAGATTCACACCGAAGCAATAAATAGCACACATGTTGATTATATAAATAGCGTACATTGCAATGTCAAGCGTTCACTGGAATGGCAGCGATATCGAATTCGCTCAGTGACAGGCGATACCTGTCGAAAGCAACATTTCTGCTACATCAACGCGCGATACATATCGCTCATCGCCATGAGGGAGGGCGCGGTTGTTTGTAACTGCTTACTACACCATCCAATAAACCACTGTGTTGCAGGGCAACATAACAGGTAGTAAGGCTACTGAAGAACAATAACATTAGGTTAATGACAATTATATAATAATCATACAGGCTAACTGACCGACATTTTAAAAATTTGCTTTGGTGTGACCACAGGAGATAAAACATATCGCCCGTAGCTAATTGCTTCCGAGTAAATACTGCTGTATAGTCGGCGCAGTAGTTTTTGGCCGGTGGAGAAGCTGGCGGACGGGCCTAGTCTGTGTACCTGAGGTGGCACGGTCAGTGCATTTCTTTTGTTTGGGCGTTCAGTCCGATAAGCTCCTCGGTGCAGTCAGCATTATACTATCGCACAAGTGACTCGCTCCTAGCCTTCCCCTTGAAAATTCCACCAGCCAAAAACTACTGCGCCGACTATAACAAGGTGTGATGCTAGGTAGATCGTCAGCATGTCGCACGCGCAGTCTATCGGCGCTATCGTGTATTAAAATGGCCAATAGTGAAATACACGTGCATTCAATTGACCGTGAATAATAAATGTGTCGTAACAACAGTTCAGATTACACAAAATTGGGGCCAATCCGATCGGTTATCGCGAAACATTTCTGACTTTTTTTTTCGTTTCCGTTTAATTTAACAAATCTAAAATTGGAGTGATTAACATTCGATATCTCAACTCAAAATTTCACAAAAAAATTTTACTATCAAAAAGATGCCAAAATTCTGATTCTGAAGTTATCATAAATTCTTCACATTGAAACTTCTTACGTTTATAATAAGTGATGTCCTCTTTACCCCGCCTTACTCAACTTTACAAAAACAATAAATTTACCTAAACCAAACATAAATTTGAAGGCAGTTGTATAGAGCAGTGGTATTCAAACTTTTTTGTTCGCCTACCCCCCAAATATAATTTCTCTTCAACTTTGTACCCCCAAAGATGTTGGCGTATAATTCAAGTTATACATAGTATATAATCTACATCTAAAATAAATTAAATAAATTACATTACTGATTATTCGGTGTTTATCATAAAATAATTTTTTTTTAAATTTCACGTACCCCTTAAGATGTCTTCGCGTACCCTCGGGGTTACGCATACCCCAGGTTAAATACCACTGGTATAGAGAATAAAATATTTTTACTATAAAATAGCACAAATCAAATGTTACAGGCCTATAAAACGAGAGAGACTTGTGTACGACTATGAAAGAGCTATCCGATTTAATTGCTCATAAAATGTGTAAATGTAACCTTAAATTTAGACTCTCATACGCTGCTACTTTCTTACTTCGATTTGTCCATGTTGACTGCCTAAACAGGAACGAGACATCACAATCAGGCTCGTCAGTCCAACTGTACTCACGTAATGCGATACTGGTTCTGCTCATCAAACTCATTCCGCTTCATCCAGAACGCAGCAGGTAGTCCACTTCCACGTAAAAACGTAGTCCAACCGAAATAATGACGTAAGAAGCAATCTAAGATCCAGTGAGTACTACCAATCTTGACAAAACATAGACACCTATAAACAGTGTTTCAAAAACAAATTTCATCCTAGAATCGCTTGCGTTTCCATAAAGTCCGAAAACAATTATTTGGTGTTACTTGTTTTCCGTTGCAAATGGAAAACAAGATGCAACGTTTGGAAGTGATGACGTGTTTCTAAACACCTGAGCTAACTCCAAGAGACGTGCTCAGAATGTGAACAAGCCAAAATATGTTGAAGAATTATATTTTTAAAACAGCCTTTTGTAGCAACATTGAAAATCGCTTGTGTCCTTATGAAAACATTCCTGAAGCCAGTTCTTTCTTCTATATTCAAATCTACCAAAAGATTATCTCCATACGTAGTTCACGTTTAAAGAAGTGTCTAATCCAGCATCGTTAACGATTTCTTCGTCACCGACATTTAATAGTCAGCCCAAATTTCAACCACACGACATGACTTTTTGAACTGCCTGGTCTAGGCATGGAAGAATGTTTGCCGCCAGTCGGCAAATCCTCATTAATTAGTTGAAAGTGAAATCTTCAATGGAGCCCATGAAAACCAACGACTACTACCCTCTTACATTCTCTCTTTTGTGCGTATGTAATGAAAGTACGCCCCAGTTTGTGACATAAACATAAAAACGGGAAAAACATCATTTTCTATAAGAGTAAACAGCAGACCGTTCCAACACCGCGCAACTTTACTTCTATCCCTTTAAGCCAGGGGTCGGCAAACATTTTTTCTAAAGGGCCAAATAGTAAATATTTTAGGCTCTGCGGGCCAAGAGGCAAACTCGAGGATACTTATATAGGTAAGCCTACTTATGTAACAAGAAAAAACCAAGTATTAAAAAATTTATTTAACAAAATGTAACGTAATAATATTAAGTAGACTACAATTGTTTGAAATACAGCTCTACTAATGAGAAGAATGGAATTGCCTGTTATGTGATAACATTTCACCAAACAGAGGTTTAAATTCAGTACTCACTACCATAAAAATTGATTGTAAATGTTCATCCGTTAATGCTGACCTGTATTGAGATTTTACATATTTCATCTTTGAAAATGTCTTTTCACACAGGTAGGTGCTGCCAAATACAGATATAAATCCCCGAGCATATGATCTTAATTGACCGTATTCATCGCTTGGAAGACATTTATAGAATTCTGTTAGATTCTTCTCTTGAAATTTGCTTTTTAGCATGTGATCACACTGCAGATTAATCACTTCCAATTGAAGGTTAGGTGGCAGCTTCTCAATTGTACAGTCAAATGGATTTTGAAATATGAAAATGGCTTCTACACTTGCATCAAGATCCGAAAAACGTTGCTGGAACTGTAGTTTGAGTTCACAAAATAGATCCACTGCAAATTTGTGCGGGAATGGAGATTTCACTTCTTCTTTTAATTTTCGACAGCATGGGAAATGTACAAAGCAATTTGTAATTTCAAAGAATTTAAATATGTAAAATCCGATCCTAGCTCGCGGGCCGTATAAACAGAGGTGGCGGGCCGGATTTGGCCAGCGGGCCGTAGTTTGCCGACCCCTGCTTTAAGCCACTATTCATAAAGCACGTTTCACATAAGGCAGACCTAACTAACTATTAATTTCTTATAAAGTGATATAATGAATTATTCATTCCTTGATTTTAGTCACCAAAGTAGAACCACTTTTAATGTTCATCTGCTTATTTGTACTGCAATACCACAGCCTCATAATATTCGGACAATGACAGTGCTTTAATTAAGGTGTACGTAATTTAATTTGAGAAATAAAATTATCTGCCACATGTGCAGATTTTCATGCGATACTACCGCATCGAATTAAATTTATATATTTTAATCAATGTAAAATGCCATAACTTTCTATAAGTAACACAAATGGTATACTCACAGACACTTATATACCATTAAGTTGTATACGTATTGCATGAATCAACATATAGCATCAACACACAAAAACATAATGAAGTCTTTCACATCTACGTCTACTCGTGTGTACGCGAGCATTTTTTGCAATGGTGAAATGAAGAATTTGGCAGGCTTAAGAACAAATATTTTGAACGCAAGTCTGCAGAACGCAATGACATGGGTAATGCTAGTTGTCCCTCCCTTTGTGTCTGCAACACGAACGCACGTGTTTCGCCTCACCTAGACACGGATCAATGCCAGGTGCTGTAGGCATGAATAATTAATACGTGGCCTGAGGAATTTTAAATTGGCCACGAGAACTTCGCCATTCATAACCAAAGCACAGGTAATTTCCCGAACAAGTAGCTGGAAACTTTACGACCGCCTCTGGATTGGATTCTGAGCCGCTTTCTTTATTTCACATCCCGAAAACATTAATGAAAATTAATTTAAATATTTTCCTTCTGATGAGCTCTTTCTTCTTCTTGTTCCAATCGAAGTGTTTTATGTATTTACCTTCTTAACACATTCTACATGTCCAACCAATCTGAACCTTCAAAATATAAACGCATATATAATTTTGTCTAAAGTGTGCACACTAACAATTTCCTAATCATATAATTTGTTCCAATTTCCGCGTTTATGTAGTGGGTCGAATAGTCTTCTCAAAACTAATCTGGATAAGTTCGATTTCTGTTCCTCAGTCAGTAATTTCACATCCATGCAAAACTTCAACATAAAACACATAAAACATCAACAAATGTTTAATAAATCTACCAGGGCAAAGGCCGCATATAAATAGCCATTTTCATGTTATCACAGACTCCATAAAAGTGCATTGAGAGACTTAATATCAACTTAGACACATCCAAACCGCCAAAGATATAATGAATTGAGAGATAAACAAGATAGGAAATGTATACACTTTGGACTATACCGACATTCAAATTCGTTCTTCACTCAATATCACATAGGTCATTGTTTCACTAACGACATTCGAGTGAAAAGCAATGCGTCATCTGAATTTACAAACTTTTTAGTTGCTGCAATATTCCCCGACAAACTACGTGGTCGCTGCACGCAAATGAACGTAGTTGCAGATTTGTGGGTCTGATGTTTTAGTTCTTTACGTCGCTGTTCGGAGGTCAACTGTCAGTCAAATCTTCATTTTCAAGAATGCGATGTGATTCTTCTGGTACTGATAAAAGTTACATGTCTTCAGTATCACAGTCATATTGAGAACCCCCATAAAGAAAGTTAAGAACTAAACATCGAACCTTCCTATGCTTTCATTCTGAAATACATGAAGGTCGGATAAAATATTCACATAAGGCGTTCTAATGCCAAGAACAGCATAATGCTAATTTTCTCGGCTTCTTGAATGCAGTCATCACAAACGTTGCGTGCTACAGTATTTCATATTAATAAAACAAAGGCCTAATTTCATGATGAAACAGCTGATTGTTTTAGGGTGTATAGAATGTATATAGTCAATGGAGATTATTTCAGTACTATAGAAGCCGTTATCAAATTTCGAATCCGATAAAATATAGGGTTATGCTGAAGTCAACATTAACGTCGTGAGAAAAGCAACATAAATAAATAAATAAATAAGTACGTCAAAGTGAGTTAAATATTATCAGTCTAACATTTCATTAATTTCTGCCATTGTTTTCACATGGACTAACCTGATTAGATGGCAAAACGTTTCATGGAGTGAGAGAAACGGAAATGCCATATTTCCTCGATTTCAAGACGCCATCTATTATAAGACGCACGTCGACTTAGAATAGGTTTTACGGGGAAAATTATGTAGGATATTACAATAGAAATCGCCATTATTCAAAACATAATACTTCTTTGTATTCATTTTCTTTGTAGCTGTTTTTGTATTTATTGTCCCATGACTAGTGTTACGGACATGAAGAATTTCCTTACGCTTTAGTCACATATTATATTTTTTCCACATCGATTTTTAGACGCCATAAAATGCAAGACACCCTCCGATTTCAAAAACTCAAAAGTAAAAAAATACTTCTAAAAAATCGAGGAAATGCGACAATGAAAGATAGAGGTTTGATACTAGTGATCACTAGATGAAGAATTTATTGACAATCCGCAACATAACTGAGGATACTAAACTTCGAATTCGTTCATTTATTTATTTACCTGCCTCCAACGCAGAGAATATGTCCAATTACAAGATGGCAAACACCAACAGGATATTCGAGAATGAACTTTTCTACCCAGTTCCTCCTCCACGCGCCACATACAATTTTATTACTTATAAATTCTGTGAGTAACAAGCTTCAGTCAAGGAAGAAACTTTTATTCCCCGTCACACACAACACATGATGCTAATCATTAACAATGCATGAGTGACAAACAGCTGAACATCGTCTCTGATTTTCAAGTCCCCGTGGAAACCGCAGCTCCATCTATATTAACAACAGAAGTTGTGTCCTCTAGGAACAAAATAGTGAACTTCTGTTGAGTTACTGTGGAGGAATTTTGATGTCTTAAATTATGTAAACAAACTTGTGGACAAGCTGAATATAATTCCGGATATCGGGCGTCCAAGTCTGATGGCTCCCTCTTGCTTTGTCCAGACACGCGCTTTAGCTGCAAGGCATACAGCTAAAACAAGAGAACGTCATTTTCCCACTGATAGGACCAGTCACAGCACGCAAAAAAAAAATACTACTTCCGCTCCCCTCACCGCCCCTGTGACGTATGCGGGCTGAGATGTCACGTGATGCACTACTAGCAGACCAGAAAATGCCGTGTTTGTTCTACTCTGTGTATACTTTACTGTTCATACTTTATAACACTGTGCGTTATAAAATAGTAATTTAAAAACAACTAAATTGACAGAGAAGCAGCGGAGAACAATAATGACATGTCAGAAATATATTTGTACTAAAGGCTAATGTTCTCAACTCGTAAAAATGGGAGATTACGCATGCGCACATGATTTGCCTACCGGGTCAGGTTCG